TATATAGGCCTCACATATGTATGTGTAACCATTACATTTAAATGTCCATAACTCTCCTATCTCCCACTAACATAATCTTCAATATGCATAACTCCCACTAACATAGTATTTGTTAAGCTTAACTCTCATGACTCTTTATTTTACATAACATTAACTCCTACTAAGACAATTTACTACCCACTAACATGCTAAATTAAGACATGCATCATGGATACAAAAATACTTGAAAATACTAAATACTAAAATCAAGTTTATTTTCAACACCCCCCTTTAAACTTGATTTTGTAACTTGAAAAACCTTCTTATTAATCTTGGGGGCTTGATCAAAAGTTCGATAGTTGATCTTCAATTCCACCTCCTTCAATAGCTTCAATCTTCTTGGCCATTTCCATTGATGTGTAGGGCTTGTGAAACTTCTTCAAATGCTTGTTTGATGTCTTCACATAATCATATATCATCCTCTTTATACAAGCACACCATCGATCTTTTTCCTTCTTAAATTTTTTATGGATCTTCAACTTCACATATACTTCTTCTTTAGAGTCAAAAAATAATTCCATATTCACCCAACCTGTATCAATTACAAAATTCTCCAAACTATTTTTTAAAAAATAATATGAGAATTTCTAATCATCCTGGGCTTCAATCTCATACTTCTTTGGAACAATTTTCTTTAAGAGAAGTTCATCATTCTCCACAAAATAAGCATTATTTGATGAATATGAAGAAATAATAATTTCATCAAATAAGTCAAACATAACTTCTTTCAAGGTGGAATTTGTAACCATACCTGAAGATGTTAATTCACCAACTTGAACTTTTGCCTCTTCTTTAGCACTTCCTTCTTCTAAATCTTCTATTTTCACTTCATCCTCATTCACTTTTTCAATCTCTTCTTTAACACCTTTTCTTACCTCTTCCTTATTCACCATTTCAAATTCTCTTTCAACTTTTGAATCTCCAAAATCTTCAACTTCTTTTGCATGATACACCTCTTCATTCTCCACAACTTTGTCTTCAAGACTTTCATAATCATCTTTCGTAAACTCATCATTCTCAAAGCATTGTACCCAATACTCCATGGGTAGTGATTCACCTCTATGATTGGAAACGATGGTCTCGAGCATCTTCCAAATACAACTTGGAGTTTTGGACTCTCCAAAATACTCCCAAATTTCTTGATGTATTGCCTTTTGCAACACTACCAATACCTTATCTTCTTTCTTTTCATAAAGCTTGTTGGACATGCCATTCTTTGGCTCTTCTCCAACAACATCCCACAAATCGCATGCTTTGAGGTATGAAGTCATGATGATTCTCATTCTCTTGTAATTAGAGAACATCATCTTTTCACTAAGAAAATACATTTTCTCCCCTTCATCATCATCAAGGAGAAACATGTTTTTCTCAAATGTTGAACTTTCTAGGATCAACTTCGTCTGGCCTTCAGGATCGTCTAGGCTCTGAACATGAAATCTGGCTTTGAACATGAAACCTGGCTCTGATACCACTTTGTTGGTTTTCGCTCTGATACCACTTTATTGGAAATAGTGGCCTAGTTACACACACAGCACTATACTATTTGGAAGAGAATAGAAATGGAGGAAAATACTTTTTATTTCACTTCTTCTATTATTTGACTAGTGTACATGAATATATAGGCCTTACATATGTATGTGTAACCATTACATTTAAATGTCCATAACTCTCCTATCTCCCACTAACATAATCTTCAATATGCATAACTCCCACTAACATAGTATTTGTTAGGCTTAACTCTCATGACTCTTTATTTTACATAACCTTAACTCCTACTAAGACAATTTACTACCCACTAACATGCTAAATTAAGACATGCATCATGGATACAAAAATACTTGAAAATACTAAATACTAAAATCAAGTTTATTTTCGACATGTACAAGCACATTTGCCATACGTGAGGTTTGGCTATGTGTCCGGTGACGGAGAGCCATATCATGAAGTAGCCGGAAAAGTTCATGACTGCGCCAATCAAGAGAACCACCCATGGTGGTGCGACTTCGCTGATTAGTCCTGATATGATTCCGAGGTTGCCACCTAAGTCCTTGAAGAAGTTGACCAAATTGAGAGTTTCATAACCCAAGGATGATTTGATGTCGCCAGAGTAGAGGCCGAACATGAAGGTGGCGCCGTTAACGGACATGATTAGGATTGAGCCGAAGATGGTGAGCCACCGGCCGGTGAGCACATGTGATCCGAAGCCCTTCATCTCTATCCAGCCACCACCACCACCTCCACTGAGCTCAGCCATTGCTATATATGTTTCTTTTTTAACACTCAGATCACTTGATTTTGAACTAAAATGATGGGACACAATGTAGTATATATACGGTACGGGCTATCGTTATTGCTTATGCCTCGTCTGTTCTGAGACTCACCAACCCTTGCATTATTGGTTACAAAGGTTTAAACTTTTGAGTTAAATGATGCACCTGGTGACGTGTATGTAATATAGTAAATAATATGATAGTTGATAATCTAAGTATATTATTATTTTTGTCGTTTTCACGCTTTCGAGTATGTTTTTATTGTTTTTGCGTTTTCGCTTTCGAATTCGCTTCCTCCGACTCTCGTAAATAGGTTCAAAACAGTTAAGAAGTGAATTAAATTTTCATACATTAAAAAAATGCTAATTTTTATTTATGAATGGAATGTTATAAGCATTAGAGGGAATAAAATCAATCTTGTTTCCACACACACACACACACACATATATATATATATAGGGGAGTCAAATATATATATATATATATATAAAATATTTCGTATACTCAAACCTTTCCCTCTTTTTCTTTCCTTGTATGTATCACCCTCAGCTGAGTCAGCTGTGCTAAAATGGTTATGACATGGACTTTGCTTTACTTATTGAGAATCAATTAATAAATTAATACGTAGCTTTGGACTTTACTTTGTTTGGTCAAGAAATTTTTAGATGCTACCAAAATCACTAGTTTCGTAAGTAAATACGCAAGTGAAAAATTAAAAATAATTTATACGTCGAATATCTAATGACTGTTGGTTGTTGTGAGAAATTTTGTTGCCATAAATTGTAGTTTTGGATTGCTTACTCAACAAATGACACAATTAAGTTTAACAAAGTCGTATCAGTTGCCTAGAATAGTACGCTTCAAACCGTCCAATTAATTTGTAAAAGATTTTGATAATCATGTCCTTTATTTTATTTTTTAAAAAAATTAAACACCCTTATACGCAATTGTATACGTCAATTGTACAGTTGAATTTCTTTGATTTCTCTGCTGCTAGTTGTTATAAAAAAAAAAAAAACACACACACACACATATATATATATTATGAGTTGTGAACTGTGTCGTACGACTTACTTGAATAAAGTAATTATAGAAGATAACTGTTAGATATTAGTCAACTTGATGGACAATGGCCAGAAGGACTTGTTTGGCAGTTGGGGTGGGGACGAACTTGAATTAGTTTCTAAACTATATATTCAACCAAACACTACAATTTGTAGTTAATCCAAACTCTAATCAAGTGAAATTCAACAAAAATAGACTAATGCCACTATTTGCAGCGAACACGTGGCATTCTTTTTAGTGAAAGACCAAAGAATATTTCCCTCTGTGCCCACTGAGAAGAGCCCTTCCTGGAAGGCATATTCTCTCCTCTTTTCATCTTTTATAGTTCAAAGGGTCTATTAATGGAAGGAATGAAGGAACATCAATCTGATCAAAACCAAAAAAAAATGAGCCTATCTTACCAGTCACCTTCATATCATGTGAAGGCATTGTGTCCTATTCTTTTTTAGTTCCTACTCTTTTAAAATTCCACAAGTTGCACATCATGCTGTGTGGATGGCTTTCCAACTTTTAGAAAATGCAGGACTACTTAGCTATACTTTTTCCAAGAAAAAATAGTGTTCATTCCCTTTCTTGTGGAGGAATGTCAAATTAATTCGGCGACTGGGTTCTTTTCTAATATTCTTTTCTTCTCGAACTTGTAATGTTTTTGTTTGATCAAAGCACCTTGTCTATTTGAGTAGTAGTCCCGGACACTTCAGGTCTATGAGTAGCATAAGGCCGGATCAAGAATTGGGTTTAACTTTAATACCAACGGATCGAACGCTTACATACCCTCTAACCCAAAAGTTTAATGGTGCTACAAAACCACCTACTCATGTTCAACACTCTTCATATTGAATAGTGTTACATACCTACCTACTTATGCTCAACACTTTTCATATGCTGGCAAATACTACTTTTTCAAACTATCAATGCAACTCAGCCTTCACCCAGATTGGGCCTACTTCACTATATAAATAAATCAAGAAAATTTTCAGTTAAATGATTTTTAATCACACCTAATTGCTTTTGGAGCAATATTGAAAAAGATTCCTAAGAAACTGGACCTCTGTTGAGACTAACACACAGACTCATTGGTGAAAGTAGCCGTTGGAATGCCTACGGTCGCTTGAGTTGGGGTTATGGGCCTCCACTCTTCGTTTTCAAACTTTGGGTAATGGGCTTGCGTCATTGTTTGGGCTCCCCAAGCTTGTTTGGCGTCAATCCAGCCCAAATTGGTGTTAGAAAGTAGAAACAATGGTGGATGTCAAATTGTCCCAACTGAAGAATGTAGTGCATATTTTCAAATTGTCCCTAGTGAAGAATGTAGTGCATATTTTTCAGAATTGTAAATCTAATATGGGGATTATACAACATAGTGTCTAATGCCTATGGACTATTAATTTTTGTACGTTAATATAATAATGAACTAATATGCAGTGCATTCAACAGTGTTGCGGTCTAATCGCAGATGCACTTATATTCTTTAATTTATAAAATTAAAAAAATAATAATAATAAAAAAAAATGAACCCAAATTGACCCAACTTCTATATATATATATTTTTCATATAAGTATTTACCAAAATATATTCAATATGTATGTGTGTGTATATATATATATAATCTTTTGTACTTGATTGTAGGGGCTTCATGGGAAACCCCTTTGAAAAAATAAGGGTATGCCACTGTCTGCAATGAGTAGACGGTATTCTTTAGTAAAAGGCAAAAGAATAGTTCGCAATGTACTCACTGCGTGGCTTCACCCTTTGTGAACTTCTTCTAGAGTCTGTCTGTGGCAGCCGAATGACAATGAGTTGCTCCTTCGCAATCGATGTGGGAATAAATTGTCTTTAATTTCTCGCCAATGTTGTTTGCACTCTCAATAATTGGGATTCACATTCAAAGTGTTCATTTATATATATACAGAATTTGACAGCTTTTAGATATGACCATCCTTGACAGGCTTTAAAGACTATTTCCGTGAAAAATAATAATAATTCATTAATCCACCCTTTTTTTAATTAACTGAAAACTATGTATAGAACAGTACCACATTGTTCAATTTTATTTTATTTTTTTATTTTTTTCTTTTTTCTTTTAAACAGCTTATACAGATTAGCCGGCTATATATAATAATTTATTACTCCAACCCTTAAGGACTCTTTGTGAATTGTCAACTCATAATATAAAGTGCAATGCAGCCGGCTTCATTGTAAAGTTCATTTACAACCGGGGCACACTTTCCATTCCATTAGACACCATGGGGTGTTCTTTACAATGATATTTAACACTGCTGTATATAGTTTTATAATCAGTTTTGTTCATGAGATTAAGATCAATTTTATTCATTTTGGTCCAAACTATTCTGAAAAAGCTCAGATGATTTATTGTTGTTACCACAATTCACAAACATTGAACTTTAATTGCATAAAATATATTAGGTTTGTCATTATGGTCCATCACAGATTAACAATCCTTCGTCAAACCATGACATGATCCCTTTAGACTACTAAAATGAATTTTTTTTAGTTTTTAAAGACCGAGTGTTATAAACAATGGAATTTTCTACTCTCATATGTCGAATGAAGTTTTGGACCTACGTCAGGCACTCAACAAAGAATTCTTCAAAGTTGAATGGTCAAATTTTATTTATTTTATTTAAGTACAGCACATAGAGTTGTGCCATACAAGAACAAAAAAGAATTCCCTGTCAGTTTGCAGCTAATAACAACATCCCAACGTACCCTTTGATTATTCCACCAACGGCTACTTACACTGCCTATCATACTAGGATAAGCATGGTTGGACATATATGTGTAATGTGTGTGTGTGTGTGTTTTTGTGTGGGGGGACTCATTTTCTGTCTTTCTTGACAAAGCCCTTGATTTGTCCGAGTCACTGGTCATCCAATCTCTCTCAGTTCTCCTCCTGGTCCTACTCATCCAACTAAGTCAAGTACACAACTATGGCCGGCCATTTTTATTCAATCTTTGTCTCACTCCCTCTCTGTTACAAAACTATCCAATAAAAGCCAGTGGCTATAGTGATAGCAGTAGCAGACAGCAGACACAGAGAGAACAATTGTATGCTATGGAGGATCCAAAGAAGGTGGAAGAAGGTCTAGGCCACACAATAGTACCTGTGAAAGAGGAAAAGATTGTTGAAGAAGAACGCGGTAATGAGAAAGAGGAGAGGAGCGCGTCCCTGGATCAGCCGGTGGAACCAAAGGATGAGCAACCACTGATTAAGCGGAAAACCAAAAGGGTTGCAACATTAGATGCATTTAGAGGCCTCACCATAGTAGTAAGTACACTTATATGCTATAGATTATAAGACATATTGCAAATGAAATTAAGCTATCATATTGAAATACAATTGTCTTAGCACAGTGTTAACTTGTAGTCACTATAGAGAGGACTATGTAGGGTTTTCAGTTCTAACCTTTGTTAAAATGTGCAGTTGATGATACTGGTGGATGATGCTGGGGGAGCATATTCGCGTATTGATCACTCACCATGGAACGGATGCACATTGGCTGACTTTGTGATGCCATTTTTTCTCTTCATAGTTGGGGTTGCAATTGCTCTTGCTCTTAAGGTTGGTACAAGTACTAGGCAATGCCTTTTCGAATGCCATATTAAACTAGTATATGGGAATTCACAATGAAATGGTTTTGTGGCACATAGAAGCGACTCTTTCAGAATTGAAGTGAATATATTTTGCAAGAATTGGTACTCAATAGTTTATGTAGTATTATTCTGTTATTGCACTCCTTAAGGAGTTTCAGGTTCAATTAAACAGATGAATCAGGCAATTGTTTGCATTGTATTTGATTTCCCATGTTTCTTATTGAGTATGTGTTTGATAAACTGTCTGAATGTACTCAAAATTGGAAAAGGTATTCAAAAACCCTAATTTGGTATTATGGCAAATGGATTAACCCAAAAAAAATTAATTTTACTGTTGCAGAAAATTCCCAAGGTCAATGATGCAATCAGAAAGATAATCTTAAGGACATTGAAGCTTCTTTTTTGGGGGATTCTCTTGCAAGGTGGTTTTTCACTACTTTTTTTTCGTTAGGCTGATTTATTGAATGGAACACATCAACCAGCAGTCTCTGCTATGGACATTTGAAATGAAGATTCTTATACGAACTGCAGGAGGATACTCTCATGCACCTGATGATCTCTCTTATGGAGTTGACATGAAGCAGATAAGATGGATGGGCATCCTCCAGGTAATGCATTCTTCCCTATATTTTTTTAGGTAAAATAGTATTTGTGTAAAATATAATAAGGTATTTTATGTACAATTATATAATAAACATGAATTATTGAATGTACCTATCCCATACATGTACTCATTTTCTTGTGTTTGTGAGCAGAGGATAGCACTGGTTTACTTGGTTGTAGCTCTAATTGAGACTCTGACCACCAAGCTCAGACCAACTGTGCTAAAACCAGGTCATCTCTCCATTTTCACTGCATATCAATGGCAATGGTAAGTTAACACAATTTTTATTCAGAACAGCTTTGATGTCCCTTTCAACATAACAAGAATTATTTCTGTGATATTGCAAAATTTTAACTTTTCCTTAAAACTTTGTGATAAATGGCTTGTTCTTTGTTTTAGGCTTGGGGGATTTGTCGCATTCCTCGTTTACATGATCACAACATATGCACTGTATGTGCCAGATTGGAGTTTTTCAGTTCACGATCGTCATAGAACGGATAGATACACAGTATGTGATAAATGACTTAGAAAGATTAACACAGTACATTTCTAAACTGCAGCCAATGAAACTGACAGTGGTTTTTTTTAGGTAAAATGTGGGATGAGAGGCCATTTAGGACCAGCATGTAATGCAGTTGGTTATGTGGATCGACAAGTTTGGGGCATCAACCATCTCTATTCGCAACCTGTTTGGTCGCGCTTAAAGGTCAGTCAAAAACAGGAAAGAAATGAGGACTAATATTTTATTCGTAACATTCGAATAGACATTGATCCTTTTTTTTTTTTTTATGGAATTCGTCGATGGATAGGCTTGCACACTTAGTTCTCCGAGTTCTGGTCCATTACGTGAGAATGCTCCAAGTTGGTGCCGTGCTCCATTTGAACCCGAAGGCTTGTTGAGGTTTGTTGATTCATCATCCCAAATGAACATGAAATTTCATACTTTTTAATATGATTACAAACTAAACATGGATTTGGCTATTGTTTTTTCTCAGTTCAATATCAGCTATACTCTCTGGCACTATTGGGATCCATTATGGACACGTACTGATTCATTTCAAGGTTCATTACAATCCTGAATTTATAAATAAAATGCATTATTTGAGAGTCAAGACACAAAGTTCATAGAAGATAATGTAAGTGGGGGTGTTTATGCAGGGTCACTCTGAAAGGCTCAAGCAATGGGTGTCAATGGGGCTTGGCTTACTTGTCTTAGCCATCATTCTTCATTTTACAGATGGTGAGCTTCTTGACTAATATTAATGTAGCTTATGATAACGAGTCCCAACCATCTTTCATCGGAAGACAGAACAAATTAGAGTGATTCTGTTTACGTTATTTTGTAGCTATTCCTATCAACAAACAGCTCTACAGCTTCAGCTATGTTTGTTTCACAGCCGGTGCAGCAGGAATTGTTTTCTCTGCGTTCTACATACTGGTAAACAATTATATCTAATCCGAGCTTTCAATGCTCCGTTAGACCAATGCTGAACAAGTATTATCTAAAGGAAGTATGTTTTGGACTGACTTTTTAGATGAATAATTGAACAGATTGATGTTAAGGGATGGCGGACTCCATTCTTGTTCCTAGAATGGATAGGAATGAACGCGATGTTAGTTTATGTGATGGCAGCACAAGGTATCTTTGCAGCGTTCGTAAATGGATGGTACTATGAGAATGAAGATAAAACATTGGTAAGTAATGTTCAGCAAATTAATCTGATGATCAACTATCTAGCTAGAAATATGATATATCACCTAATTTTGTGCATTAAAATTGCAATGAGCAGGTTAATTGGATTCAAGAGCATGTTTTTAATGATGTGTGGAACTCGGAGAGATTAGGGACATTATTATATGTGATATTTGCTGAGATTACTTTCTGGGGAGTGGTTTCCGGCATCTTGCACAAACTGGGCATATACTGGAAACTGTGAGGAGCCAATTCGCAGCAAGGCAAAGCAAGGAGCTGTGTATTTTTCATACTTTTAAGATTCTTACATGTATGTAAACTCTTGTGGGGTTTCTTATGCTTTTGATTGCTTGTATCTTTGTTTCATTATATGTGGATGTGCCATAGAATTTGTTTATTAGAGCATGGTGTAAAATAGAATATATATATATCTGAACTTATTCAAAGAAAGCATTTGTATTTTCAATACTAGTCTAAACAGAAGGGATGTGAATTTTGGATCAGCTTCAACTATACTTTGTATCTCCATGAATTGAGTGGGAATGTAAGTATTGTCCATTTTAGGGGACATCCACACGTATAACTGCCAATAACCTTTTCCCCAGGCGACGTGATGTGATACGTCACATTAGAACTAATTGGCAAGTGCCTTGTTTGTGTTATGCACCAAAACAAAGTGACCTCACTTATGTTGTTCTGCACCATGAGCAGAAGAACCACCATCCTCTTTGATCCATCAAAGTATAAGTGCGCAGACTCTGAACTCATCTTACAGCAATTGTACACAGGGTCTTGCTGTTTTAACGCATTATAGAAGAATTTTCACATCACAGAACTTGCAAAGAGCAACATGTAGATTGATATATATATATATATATATATTTGCACAGGCCACAGTGGTAAACATTATCAATCATAAGAGCAGACAAGGCCCACATAGATGTACACAATTTATAAAACTATTTCTTGGTTGAATTCAAGTGAGTAGAAACTATCCTTAGATCAGCAATTTATTTAAAACTCAGAGTTGGGGCTCCACATGAATTAATTCAAGCGTGAATCCTTGAAGAATATCAAATATATATGTGGAAGATATTTGTGTGAAAATGACAATGGATGGTGCAAGGAAAGGTACAAAATATCTGTATGCAAGATATTAAGCTTTGATCACGATGCCTCTGATGTGACTACATATTTCATATAATGGCATTCCATCATGTTAATTATATAATCGAAATGATTAGGAGCAAATATGCTTCTTCTTCTTTCTTTCTTTTTTTCAACTCTGCATAAAGAAAAAAAAATAAAAGATAGGACAACCAACATATCTGTTCAAGTTGCAATAGGAAATGAGACAAATATCAAGAAAAAGCCCGGGAAACTAGTGCATACTGCATTGATAATTCCATCCATGCAGGGCAAATTCCAGGATAAAGTCCAATGTTTACAGCTTGGGAGGGATAGAACAGAGCAACAAACAATTGAAAGATGCATTATCCTGAAGAAGGGTGTTATTAACCTGAGAATTTCTTCATCACTTGCGAGAACTTTTCCGGTACATTGGAGGAGTTCAGAGGGTATTTTGAGATGTCATTAAAGGGACACAAGAAATTATTCAAGAAAAAAATTACACATACACGTACAAGATTGTTCGTGGTTGATCCGAATAACAAAATTACATAGATGTAGAGAAACTGTTACTTCATTCATATACAGGCTAACACTTTGGTGTCCCTGTCAGTTTTAAACTACAAACCTTCATTCTCTTGTGCACGATGCCATACATACAGAACTCGTTTACAAAGAGGAAGTGGCGTTGGACAGCATGATTCGATCCAACATTAATGATATGACACCATAATTCCCTCTAGCTACAGCTTTCATATACATAATGCTACCGACTTTCACTCATAATTTATACTAGTATGCTAGTCTTACAAAGGTCGTTGACTAAAACGTGGTATGGCTCATCTTTTCACAATATATATATCACATATATACATCTAGAAAATATTTAGCCAAGCAGAAGTATACTGTACAGAGGTTGAAAGAGCATGTTGCAGTCCCGAAGAAATACTATCTCCAGTCTTCATCACTCCCAACCCATTAACATTTTCCAAACTGCTTCCTCGATCTTGTTTCCTGGAATAGATAAACCATCCCTTTCATCAAGTAAAACTTTGTAAACCTCCCATTCCCGATCTCCAATCATGTGCCTCCCAATCTCAGCCTGGAAAAAGCAATCAGATTATTTCTGGGAAAAGAAAATGCTGTGAAAGAATAAACAAAGAACCGATTATGAAATTTGTTTATTCATTAAACTGGTTGCTGAAAATTTTCATTATGGCGTATTGGAAGTCATTTCACACATACACCAAAATTGGCTTTTCATCAGGAAGGATGGTTGGCGAAATCGTATTTTTTTGGGCAAAGCCCTTTAAGTTCAACTCATTAGGGATTATCAGTATGACAGTATCTCATAAGAGGACAAGGATAATGCACTATCACAGTCCCACTAGCCACCCTATTCTTGGAACTATCACAAGGACAAAAAGCAACCAAATGAGCACCTTGGCCAATAATCCATGGTGAGGCTAACAATTCCAACAATGCACTCATAGGCTAACTAAACGGTCACTGAGATACAATCCACGTTTCTAAACAATAAATACCAATCCCATTCTGAGCTATCATAGTATGCAGATCAGGAAAGTACCGTAAAGACGCCAATGTTGAGCATCCTGAGAGCAAAGGTGATGTCATAAAAAACGAGAGGCCGGCCCTTCCCAGATAACTCCACAGGGTTTGCTACCAGCAATTCTGTATCAGGACCGCGGTTCACCAGAGCTACTCTAAGGGGGCGAATTAGTTCCATTTGAAGACGAGAGCGCAATGCACTTTGCTTGCTAGGGTCAACAATCTTCTTCCCATCTGCTTGCATGATGAACAAGTCCAGCTCACAATTTCTATTCTGTTTTGTTGTGAAGCGCCCATACGAAATCTGGTATATATTATAAGGTATTGTCATTTACAAATTTAGATCCAGTTTAGAAAAGAAAAAAAAAAATGTGGTTAAAGAAACATAAAACAAAATAGCCATTAAAGTGATTAAGCATTCTAAAAATTGCGGTCACAAACATGCTAATTTTGCACATCAGTAATGCACCAGCAGAACAAGTATTTGATAACTTGGCACAACACTAAACAAACTTCAAGCATTGGACGACAAGTAAGCTAAGAAAACAATACACTCAGTCCATACAGTTACTAACATTTATCTCCACTCAAGATTCCGTACATGGTCTTCAAGATATTGCACAAACAGAATGATTTATAACCACAGCACAACATGGAGTATGGAAGAGGAAGAATGAGAATTTGTATGCAATTACTATGTGTTTAACATGTTAAAAATGAAAATTGTTCTGATTAGAATTTATAGGAGTGAGATTTATTCAAGCACGCAAGTGTTTCAATAAAGAAAGATGACAACAGAAATCTATTTACTGTAATAAATTGAGAGACATGATACGATATTTTCACGCTTTTTTTTATTTTATTTATCAGATCAAATTATCAAGATTAAGTACCTGGATACTGTAATCCTTTAAAGTTCTCATTATATCGTAAAGGAGACCTTTGTGATCTAGGCAAACAATTTGGACAAGCGTGTGAGCCGGACTGAGCAAGTTATCCATTGTGATGGATACATTGTTGGAAGTGAGCAATCCACTTTGCCGCTCATTAAGAATCTCTAAGTTAAACTTGTCTTCTGTGATTGCAGGAGGAAGAAATGAAGGCCGTTGTGAACATGCAGTGATTTCAGGGCCAGCCATTTCTATGTCACAACTTATCATGGCATCCCCCAAAACAGCTTTTAAATGGTCATATGTATCCTCCTGTCTCTTTTTTGTATGTAGAAGTTCCCTGATAATAAAACGACAATGAAATAACCGAAAAGTTTAGGAATGTGAAGAACAAGATAAAAGAGAAAAAAAAAAAAAAAAAAAAAAGACATGATTTCAAGAATGCTTTGAAAGGCTTTGTTAGAACATTCCCCTTGATTTCGTCACATCTATTCACATCAATTCCAATAACTTAAATATATTTTAAATTAGGAGTATCTACAAAAGAACTTAAATTATGTATTACTGAGAAAGGATTGAGAAAGGATACGTTCTTCTTAGAAGAATATAATTCAGACTCAAGTAATGATGTCCCCACCATCCTTAAAAATAATAATAATAATAAATAAAAAATGACAAGGAAAATATGCACTAGCAGTCCTTTAAAATCCAGTCTTCATTTACTTACTAACCAATATGTGTAATAATAGTCTTGACTTTCTAAAGAAACACGGAGATGGGGAAGATCATCCATTATTATAAGATTGCAACTATTCAAGCCTGGAGGTGATCAACTGATCGGACAGGCCAAGTCAGCGGCCGAATACCCAAAGGTCCTCAACTATCCCTCTTCCATATCTTAAGAATTAAGCATTATAAGGTTAAACAGGACGATCTTTGTTCCAAAAATATGTGTACCAAACTTGTTCTCATAAATTTGCATTCAAGATTTCCTGTTTCAGCTATACTCATGTCATCAAATTACTCTCACTCAGTTAACAGAGTATATAGCATCAATGTCGCTGAGAGTCCACACTTGCACCCCCAAAAGAAGACATATAAAAATAAGTGGCAAAATTAATAATATTATCTCAGCAGAGACCGTGCCAAGAATGTAGAACCTCGTATCTGTGATGAAGAACAGGTCCATCACTCGCCCATCTGGTGTGGTCGATACCTTCACTCTCTTTATAGTAAGCTCAAGCTCGCAAAGAACCTGTGTAACATCTGCCCAAAATTTCTTTAAAAGTTAACACTCAATGATAGCTAAATCACTCATAATTGTCCTAGAATTTAAATCATCAAGTAGCCAATACAACACAAAAGGAACAAGTGTGAATTAGATGAATCCATAACCAAAATAGCTATATCAAAAACTTATCCAAAAAACACGCACACACACACACCTATATCAAAGAAAAAGGAAGATCATGCAATCCTAGTACACCTTTAATTACTGAGAGAACATGGAAAAATAAATGAGAACTCATAGCCTACAAAATAAATTGCTTCTAGCAACCAAATAGAACATAATTGAGGTTAAAGAACAGTAAAATTACCTCATTAGAAGTTAAATTGGGGAAGGATGCTTACATTCAAGACATAGACTTAACAAAGAAAAAGCTATGTCATTGAAGAACAAAAACTCGCACTAAAAACCAATTAAGTGAAACATATGACTATATGCAAAATTGATTCACAAATATTCAAACCATACAATTCAAATAAAACCCACAATACATCTCACAACAAGTTGTCAAATCGAAGTATGAGAAATAAACTATGAACATGATTATTACCGTTTAAGAGGCCTCTTCGATCGTAGCAACAGAACTTTAAAAGGAACACATCAGGAGGCTTGGGAGGCTGCAATTCGGATCGGTAAAACAATATCCCAGAAGCTGAAGAACAAGAAGGGCATACTTCTACTAGTCTCTTTTTCAACAAAGCCCATCTTGTAGTTGGCTTCCCAATTACCCAGAACACTATGTAGCACCATTTCCCATCTGTAGATACATCTATTCCACACAATGAAAAAAAAAAAACACAAATTAACCAATACCTCAAAACCCATCAATGGTTCCACTAAATGAGTGAAAGAGAAACTATTTAGTATCATTTCTCATGCCCTTAAACATCAAATCAGAGTCAAAACTAATATAACCTAGACACAAGCAATCATTTATTATTTATTTTTTAAAATTAGAGAGAGAAAATCTCAAAATAATCAAAATACCCATAACCTAGTTCAAAATAACAGTTAGTTTTGATCATTAGATATATTGTGGACGTATATACACACACACACGCATAGAGAAAGAGAGAGTGAGTGATCTGGGAATACCAACTCTGGCAATGCTCAAACCAAAGAAAAGGATGAGGCGGCAGAGGTCACAACCCAAGCCAGTCTTGTCGGGACAGTTAACAGTAATTACAGTTGGATCTCCTTCTTTCTCGGAATGTCTGATGATCACTACGTCGTCGTATAGAATCCCCATCTCTTCTTCTTGCTATTGTTTTAGCCCTTCAATCTTCTAACACAGGGATTCGACTGTTCTTTGATATTTATATATATACATATATAAACAAGTACCTTTTTTTTTTTTTTTTTTTGGCAACAAAGAAGGGAGAGTTCAAATTGGGTTTTATCTCTAGCTTTGATGCTCAGTTAGTTATATACTGTCATACTGGATGAAAATGGCTTGTCATGTTGAGAGAGATAAAGATTGGGGCTTTTGCCATTTCTAGGAACTTAATTATTTCAAGAACTCTTTTTTAAGAACTTGTTTACTTGGGCTTGGGTGGTGTTTCTTCGTCTATTCTGCTATGATTGCGATTACTGTTCTGTCTCCTACTGACATCTAAGGTCTAGCTAGAATACATATAATTTTGTCATTTTTATAATAAAAATTATAAAATGACAAATTTATTTTTCAAAATTAGAGTATTTTTTTAGCATACCTCCAAAGGAGTCAAGATCTTGTCCGAAGTATAGTGGTGCTATGCTTTTCACTTTTTTAAAAAAATTGTGAAGATTCAAGTCCTTTAAAAAGAGGTATAAAGTTTCGTATCAATAATAATAAATAAATAAACAAATATAGTGCAACAACTTTATTTCACAACATCAACAAAAATTTATGTGGGAGATATTTTGATTTTTCTTTACCTTTTAAAATAAATAAATGAAAATTTAAATTCTCATAAAAGTAAATGGGTGGAATTATTTTTCAAGGCAAAAATAAAAGGAATTTTTTTATAATTAAGAGGTGTAAGTATCTTTTCCTGTTTAAAATAATAATAATTTATGTCATTTTTCAAAGAAAAATTGAAAATTGAATTCAAGTAAACAACTTTCACTTTTTCAAGTAGGAAAAGTATACATTTCAGTTTTTATATATATAATAATTATATTCTAGTTGAGTCAACAATAACACACCATCTCACTTTTTTTTTTCTTTGTTTTTTTTCAATTTTGATGAGATAACATCCTGTAAGACACCATTTTTCTTTCGTTTTATTTAATCAACTTATTTTGGTTTGAATAATATCTCAGTTTAAATTTATACAAATAAAAATAAAAATAAAAGTTAAACATTATGATAATATATATATATATATATTTTTTGGGGGGGAACAAACATGATGTCATTATGATTATTTTAATATATGTTGGTCTAATAGGGTACCCTGATAATAGGGTATACCCTTATGACAAAAAAAAAAAAATTCAAGTCTCTGCCTACCACACAAAAATAATGTTTAACTTCCCAACCATATGATGTGGCATTGACGTGGCTTAGCATTATTGGATGATGCTGCTAAACCATAGATATCTGATATCTCCACTATTATCTCATTTACGGATAACTTGGAACAACCTTAACTTATACCGCGAGAAATTGGCTACACGTCACCTGACCTTACGCACTCGCAGTGCGTGCGTACACACCATTTCCAGCCGCCATCACGTGTCTTATTATCCTGGATGGTTCCCATCACGTGCCTAACTTTGCGGAGGCTTCAAGAAAGCTTCTACTTTCTCTCTCAACCTTTTATTTCGTGGTCTCAGCTTTCAATTTTGTATGTGCGCCCTTTTTTTTTTTCTTTTTTTTCAAAATAAATATACATAAAAGTATACCTCCCACCTATGTTTCGCAGTCACAGTATCACTTACTATTGCAATATAATAAATTCGAATATTGTTATAAACTGGTCAAATTGGCGAGTTCATACGTATAATAATATGAAATCTTTAAAAAAGAAGTACGAACCAATTGATACGTCGCTTGTCAGCTCATATGGCGAACAATAGTCTCACCTAATTGTTATTTGCTCTCGTTTTTTCTCAAAATATATATACATAAAAGTATAAGTCTCACCCATGGTTCGCAGTCGTGGTATTAGTTGCGGTATTTTTCACGGTCGCGATGTAACGAATTCAGACCAATATCGGTATAAACCGACTTAACTGGCCTGTTTATGAAAATATGCAACGATATCGAACCCTTAAAAAATGGTTACTAACGAGTTGATACGTCGTGTATCAACTCAGATGGTGAACCATAGTCTCACCTAACGATCATCTTTTTAAAATTAAGTTTTGTCCCTTTTTTTATTAAAAATTATAGTAATTTGAGAATCGAACATATTCGATTTTCTCTTATATAGGTGAAAAATAACGCCATCCCTATTTACGTAAATGTAATTGAATGTGTTCAACTCTCAAACTCTATCACAACTCTCTTGTTTTTCCTCACAAATAATATTCTCATTTGTTTTATAAACATTTCATAACTTTAAACTATTAATACAATACAACTCTTGATGGTGGATACTTTGTCACTACCAAGGGTGTCTTCAATAAATATGTTACAATCAAAATAAATAAAAGTTAAATATTTTATAACAGTATTATTAGCTTTATATGTTAAAATCGAGCACATGTTAGAGGTCAATGTACCAAGTGTTTGGTCTATGCAATTTTAAAATGATTTGATTAGTTAATCCACGATGGAGGGATGGAATCATGTTAATTGAATAAAGTTAGAATCTAAAAGGTTAAGAATATTCAATTTTGTATTAAATTGATGCACCGCCCACTATGCTGTTCTTTTCTCTGTTTGGCACTCAAGAAAGTACATAAAAATGTAGCAGTTATCGCAATATATTATTTTAGTTTGATTTAAAGGCTCTTATTTTGTCTTTGGGCATACAAAAATATGTTTCTAGTGAGGCTGTTAACTTTTCTAGCATACATTTATTGGTCCAATTGTAAATCTTTAATAGCAAGTGGTGATTTATATAATATATGTGTGTATATGTATTTAACTATGTATGCAAGGCCAATCTCTACAAGACAACATGGTTCGCATGGTCACATACCATTATAAGTATATATATATTTATGTGAATGTATAACTTTTTAAATATGTATTTTTTTGGTCCTCTCTTTTTGATGGAATCGATAGTAACTTGTAGGGTGGAAGTCTTGACATTTTGGGTTTAGGCCCACTAAGTATGGGCTTAGACGTGACTCTAAATTTATAAAATCCAAAAACTCGGTCTAATTAAGATAAAATGGAGCGGATTCATGTGAACTCGAAATTGTTAGAATCTATTTTTATGGACAAAATAATGTAAAATCCGTTCAATAAAAACCATACTTGATTTAAGACCGATATCATATCCATATCTTTTAAGAAAGATCTTATCCAATCTATTTTTTACCTTCAAAATGGACTTTGAAATAAATAGTCTCAAGTTAAACTCACTCCATTTCAAACCCTAATAAAGAGATCTCATCTCCTAACAATGATCCATCCATAAAGTTTGCAAGTCAATTACATAAAAGAAATGGCAAGTTAAAGAACAATGTAACGGGCGTACCCTCCTAATCCCTCCCAGTAATGATTCGGAGTCGAACACCACCCAAATATTAGGAACTAGGTTGACTTTAATATCACTTGTAACGAATAATGTGCTTTCCATCTGAACCAAAAACTTAAGATATTGAATAGTGATGCATACCCGTCTTTATAAGTTCAAAATCTTTTCCATCCAAATCCATTGTTTGTAACAAGAACAAGGTTTCAATCCTAATCTTCTTGGTATTTTATTTTTACAATGTGTGTGTGTGAGAGAGCGCTAGCATTGGATATTGGGTTCAGACTGAGCCTTAGAAAGCCCTACATTGGCCCATTTCATAAAAGAGTAACAAGACTTGGGATTGGCTTGATATTGCAAAAAAATAAAACAAAATAAAATAAAATAAAAAATAAAAGATTAAAAAAAAAAGACTAAAAATTTAAATTTGCAATAGAAAGGTCGGTATGATGGGGTTGTGTCTTGTAAAGAGCGGAAAGATTAAGACATATGACAGATAAAGGAGGGACATGTCCACATAAAGTCATAAACCAATATGATCTGATAGTGACACCAAATCTTTACTATATACTCTCCCTCCATGTGATAAGAAAGACCAACGGTGGATATTAATTCATCCGAAATAAGTTTTTTATTTTCTCTCTGATAAACCTTTATCAAGCAAATTCTCCTGAGGTATTGTTAAATGTGTTGGATTTGATCGGAGATCAATCTGATTATAAATTAATTTTATTCTGGGTTTTTTTTTTTCACAAATTTTCTTTGCATCACTTTTTCACAACCGAAATATAGTTCATCTCCTCTGTAGTTTCTCTCTTTTGCTTTTAGACAATAAAATAAAATAAAATAAATAAATTAGATGGAAGAAGGAAGAGATGACAATTTTTTTTTTTTTTTGAAGAAACAGAAGAAGAATAGTAGCTGAAGGGAAAAAAAGAATTTTAAATTATTTTTCCTAATATAAAATGACCTTAAAGTAATTTAATTTAATTTTTTTTTTTTATAATAATTCCACTTGGAGGGGATGAAAATTTGTGTTCCTATCTTTCCTCCACAAATTTGAAATAAATGAGATATTATTTTGAGTCTATCTCTTTTCATAAATGAGATATTATTTTGACTCTTATCTCTTTTCATAAATGAGATATTATTTTGACCTTAAAGTAATTTAATTTAGGCAAGTAAATATACGTATATCGAGTCGACATACAATTCAAAAATTGTAGGCTACTCATTTTTCACCAAAAAGTTTCTTCAAATATTACTCCCCACCAGTCACACCACGTACGTGCATTATCAATAAAGTTGGATTTTAATTTGACAACAAGATTTTCAATGTGGGACCCCCTCTATTAAAAGCAAACCCTCGTTTAACACGGGGAAGCATATAGTATAACGAATTTGTGTTTTATAAATCTACTGAAAATGAAATTTTAATTGTGATAAGGTTGTTCTTAATCAATCCACTTGATTGTTTCAATAATTACTTGAGCACGTGTTTGACCACCTCGAGCTTTTCCAACGCTACATGTGGCTTAACCGAACAAATTTAGGACCCAAGTTAGTATAATTATTTTAAGAATACGTATATGAGTGGGCGAGGTAGGAACTGTTTTACGTAAACTGGTGCAACACAATTACATCACCACCAACCACTACCACAACACAAAAATGCAACATATCGCACATGCAACAACTTTAAAAAAACAATTATATGTATATTTGTGTGTATTTTCTTACATTTTTTAATAAGGCAAAAACATAACAGATATAAAAAGGTCCCATGGAATCGTTACAATAGATTCGACGGTACATAGGTTGGATTATTCCATCAATGTGTCCAAATAAATTGAGCAAACCTACTTTTTTAAAAGGATCAAAATCGAATCCTGCTGTACAAATTGAATGACACAAATCGCCCCACATCATTTACTTTTCAAAATAAAAAATTTATCATTTATAATGGTTGGTAAAAATTGGCATCACAGCAGACTACATGAAGGGTATACAGAGAAGATTTTGATTCATTTTTTAAAAATATTTTCAACACTAAGTGACAGGTGCCTAACCTCAAGTCCTAGTTATCACGGGCATAACGGCATTAGCAAAAATTCGAAGGGATAAGTTCTTGAAATTTTGTTTTCGAGTCGCACTTCTAACTTGAATAGTACTAAAGAAACAAGAGAGAAGAGAGAAGAGAGAGAAACGTGTATTATGAGACCGATACACATGCTTTAAGAAAAATATAATAGTAATACTTCTAGTCCTATGCCCCAATGGATTTTTGGGTCTGTCCATTAATGCAATTCTATTTTGGGCCCAAATACTGCATGGTTCAGGGCCTTCAAATCAAACTTTCTAAAGACCATTATTTTAAAAGCAGCCCAATCAAGATAGAGAATAAAACAGCAGCAAAGCTCACTCACATATATGTCTGTCTATCCAGAAATTTCACCACAATACTCCAGTTTTTTTTTTAAATCTTTTGAGACGTGGAAGAGTAACATGTTATAAAATCTCAGACCAACAAACCACAAGTGATGATCTACCTATGAGCTCAAAACAGAAAATATGCTGCTAGTACTAGTCAAAGACATTTTGAAGGCTACAAATACACATTAGAGCCAACAATCTGCATCCATGCATGAAAACCATTTATTGGCTCAACAATAACACATCTATCGCGACAATTAATTAATGCAGCTCAGTTCTTTCATGTCTAATGCCTTCTTTTCCTTGAGGAGATGATATCAATTACCCGTAAAATTAAATAGCTCAACTGATCTTGTCTACAGCATAATTCAATGTCATTCTCATATCAGGACACAACAACTTATGTTTATTACAAGGAAAATCTATATAACATGAGTTTTTGTGTTTATGCACTCAGAGCAGTCTAACTTCAGTCGAGCTTTCTATCATCTAGACCCACTGATTTCTGAACAGGTTCTGGTGATGCATCAAGTTTAGGTTCTGCTGTCACCTGTTAAAACAACGCGGTTACTATTTCATTTACAGTACAAAGGACTAGCAAGCAAATAGAACAACTTCATGGCATGATGGACCTATAAAGCCAAGGTATAGAATCGCGGCAATGTAAACATTAAACAATGGAAACAAACAGTACAATGAAAATATAATTACTGATTTAAGAATTAGTTAACTAACATCAAAGATAATTTGCAGAATTGAGAAGTGATGAATGAGTAAAATAAACCATAATTCCTATCCAAACTACTATTATAACAACTCAACTCAACCAAGGCTTTTCCCAACTAGTGGTTGGCTACATGGATCATATTTCTCCTTTCTAAGGCTATAGCCTCAGATGATAGAAATTCAGTGATGATTTATCAATATTTTTGCACAATTATAACAAATCAACTAACGCGTGCTAGTATTTGCTGCTTGTTCACATATCAGCCCAATCAGGGCTGAGAATTAGCACAAAGGAATAAAGCAATACACATATTCACAAAGGAATTTCCAGTTCTCCGTCTCAATTTGTACTTGATGGTTCGCTCTTTCTGGACTTACAACCGTGGTCTACAAACCAAAGTAAAATGACCAAATGGAGTAAGCATCCTTCAAAGCCAAACCAACAAATACTAATTCTTGCCCAATCCCATCGTCATTTTTTCTTTTTCCTTTTTTCCTTACAAAAAAGAAGGGGGGAAAACAATGACATCCCTTCACCATTGTCCACATAATCCTTCTTGGTCTTTTTATAATCAGAAATCAAAAGCCATTATTGGTGAGCATCCATGATTTAAATAGAAACAAATTCCCTAAGCACACCTGAAATTTTAAATATTTTTGCACAATTATAACAAATCAACTAACGCATCCTATTTGCTGCTTGCTCACATATCAACCAAATCAGGGCTTAAAATGAGCACGAAGGACTAAAGGCTGTATAAAGCAATACACATATTTACAAAGTAATTTCCAGTTCTCCGTCTCAATTTGTACTTGATGGTTCTTTCTTTCTGGAATAACAATTGTGGTCTACAAACCAAACTAAATAACCAAATGGAGTAAGCATCCCTTCAAAGCCAAACCAACAAATAGTAATTCTTGCCCAATCCCATCGTCTTTTTTTTTTTCCTTACAAAAAAGGGAGGAAACAATGACATCCCTTCACCACTTGTCCACATAATCCTTCTTGGTCTTTTTATAATCAGAAATCAAAAGCCATTATTGGTGTGCATCCATGATTTAAATAGAAACAAATTCCCTAAGCACACAATGAAAGTTTAAATAATCAATGAAATTCTGAGACAGCAAACAAACCTAAAACATGTTAAGAAATAACCAAAATTTTACTTCCCTGAGTAATTGGTCTGAGTCATGCAAACCTCAAAAAAAAAATTTTTTTTTTTTTGATAAGTCATGCAAACCTCAAAATTTACATCAAAATATTGTCATCTAAGATATTCAACACATTGATTTATACTCTTTCAGATACTAGATCCACAATATAATGGGTAAAAAATAATACAACGAAGATTTTATGACATTACAAAAATTTCGTTTAAGCAAAGCACCTGTAGAAGATTGGAATAGCCAAATCCAAGGAAGAAAAGACAAAATTTCCTTTTTAGCTTGTCAGTCTACCTCAAGGTGCATTCCTTTTGTTGACTTTGATACTATTAGTGATCAGATGCCAGAAACCAGCACAAGGCCATTTCCACAAACTGGAATTGCAGTTCGCTGCAAGTCACTCCATTGGAACGGATAGAACTAACTATAATAATAGTAATAATGAGCTGATGCTAGCATATCAAGGTATAAAAGCATCCATTTGGTACTGTTGGGTCTCAAATTCAATGCTCAGACTCTCCCCCGTAATTTGGCCTAATTACATGTGATGTGGATGAAAGAAATGCATTTAATAAATAGACTGAGCTTCCATGTCAGCGTTTGTCAACACCCTGTGTTCAACCTAGTGAGCACAAATGACTTTTCTAGCCTTGCTTTCTTTAATGATATTCAAAATGAAAAACCTAAAAGAGTATTTAGAAAGAAAAAATTTCGAGTTACATATATGCCCTCAAATGTTTTCTATTCTCTCCTCTCTCTCTAACCGTCTCTTTGCCTTCTCGTACTATAATACAAAATCAAGTTTAATATCATTAAATAAATTAAATCGAAAATCTGATGAATTCGATTTTGAAAATTAGTTTGCAGATTATGCAAAATTATAAATTTGCAAGTATGTAAAATTTATAAATAAGATTGTTCCAGCAATACAAATACTGTACTCTCTATCATAGTGACATTACAATTTCACCCAGAAGCTCAAACCAGATATTCCTAAAAACTTCTTCCACCAAAATTCTTTTTAGCATATTATCAAGCAATGTGAGCAACATGCTTGGAGATATTCTTAAAAACTTGTCCAAAATTTAAATAATCAAATCATTTGAGCCATTTCCCTTCCTTGTCTAAACTCTAAAGACGACATTTTTTTGAACTTGTAAACCGACCGGACTATTTCAAGTTTTTTTCCAATTCTGAGTATTACAATTTATAAACATGGTTGATAGTAAATAAACTAAAAATGAATTAAACCTATATCAACCTCTTCTGAGTTCAATTGGCCATTAATACATCCTTGACAATTCGGTCTTTCCTCACAACCTCAAGGCCCTCAAACAATTGTTCTTTCTAACCTTATTCTTTTTTTTTTTTTTTTTGGCACCTTCAATTTTCAATAAGAAACACCCACATCAATGGATTCTTGCTTATTTGCTCATGTAGAAGTCATTTTCCCTCATCTTCGGTCAATGACGCCTGCAACGTCTCACAAATGCAATCAATTCTTATTATGTCCTCCATTCATGTATTGTTGCTCATCCAAGTCAATGTTCATATTTTGAGTATATAGTTCTTAATTATCTAAGATATGTACCATAAAAGATAACTTGCATTATGATGCAGTTGAAACTTAACTTTTATCTTGGTATATACTCAATGTAAACCCTCTTTCTAATCACATAAAGTTTATTCACATGGAGGAGGAACTTGTTACTAAGATGGACCGAATGACAACCTCTCTTTGATCGGGCCATATGCTCTGACATCATAACATTATTGTTACTTTTTACATGTAACTAGATCTTTGTATCTTGTTTCAATCAAAATGAGCGCTTCAAGTATCCTACATGATTTTTCTTTATTATATTTAGATTAATCAAAATAAACACCATCAAGGAGTAGTCCTACGCATTATATCCTCGTAACAAATATCAATCGATTTTAAAAGAAAAAAATCCCAAAAAATCTTTTTTTTTTCATCCAATTCCCAAGTTTGCCAATTAACCAGCTGCCTTATTTGCTTCTCTAAGAATATGTTAACGAAAAACTCCAAATCACCATCCTTCATCGTATTTTTTTACAACTCTGACATATTAATTGTTCTGTGTGGAATGTTACCACGGACAAATAAACCTATAAAAATAAAATTGAGCATCTCGGTGTGTACAAATTTTTAATATTTCTATCACAGTATCACTACTATGAAACTAGTCTCAAAGCCTCGAGTCTCAATCATGAGAAGAGTAAGGTCACTCTTAAGCCTTAACCTGTCTAGAATAAAATTGGAATCCCAAAATGATATCTCAGAATGAAACCTAAAGCTACCTCATTTTTTAATCTTCTTACAGCCATCAAAATTTAACTTAATCCAAATATTGCTGCAAATGGAGGAAGGGGGTTGGTAAACCAACTAAGCTAGGAAGTCAATAATCTTTGTACGTTCTAGTAGCCTTCTCAATATGCTATTATAAGGATGTGGCTCATGGTTGGAGAACAAGCAATGATCTATGACTCCGAGTGCCATAGAACATTACAAAGTTCACAGCACAAATGCTACAATGCCTTCAGTTCTTACAATTCCTTCTTTTTTTTCTTTTTTTTTTTTATCTCATCTAACCAATGAACAAGATCAACATCCCCATTAACAGGACAAGAAAAGGGTCTTAGATAAAATTCCACCTCTGCAATATAACACCTTAGTAAAATAAGGTTGATCTTCCAAGGTATTCCAACATATATGAAAATCAAGGCAACCCACCATGTCATCAACAACATAAATCATTCAATTTTTAACGCACAATGGATTTTGCTTGGGAAATGGAAATTTTTAATCCAATTCCCAAGTTTGCCAAGCAAAATTGCCAGTTTCATCCAAAAAATGATAGTGAGTCGTGACAAAGTGCAAGCCTCTTTTGTAACCCATTCCAAATTCACCTATTGTCATCACTAGTCCTCTTGCTCTTTAAAACTACCCAATAGATTTTCAACTAATTTCTCAAATACTGGATAGATATGAATTTATCTTCTTTCTAAAACCTTAGAAGTTCTTGGTTTGCTGCATTTTTACTAACAACTATCATTGCATTAGATGGATCTTGTAATCACTTCATTGATTATTGTTGACCGGAACTGCTGAGAATTCATTGATACCTTCTATACTCCTATTTTAAGCTTTAGAATGCCTTAACCCACCCACCCCACACACACAATTACTACATCACTCCCCAATTACCTATAGCACTGATTTTATTTGATGGCTTGTTTTTTCACATAGCTGATTACCTTTTTGCCATAAATTGTTTAATGGGTTCCCTCACCACATTGAGACAAAAAAAAAAAAAAAAAAAAAAAAAAAAAAAGGGGCCTGCTGATCGGACTAAACATATATTCAGAACAAACGACTACATGGAATCCCCTTAAAGCCTAATATGTTTACAAATGTTGGTATCCATCAAGAATTTTCCCATCAAGTCAAAAATTTTATTTTAATACACCTGGACTTGATAGCACAGACCGATCTGTGATTATCAGTTTCTTCAACAACAAAGATACCACTTCATCAGCATCCTTTGATTCTTGCATACTATATCATAGAACACATAATCCTGCTCCAGAAAAGAGCACCTTTGCCCCCAACACTATCATAAAGTACAAGTGAAAAAATTGTCTTAGCTGACAATCTCTCTTTCAAAACCTTCTAGATTGTCCAGCTCGTCAGAAAGTTCCTTTTCCAGCAAAAAAGATTCAGGCTTACGTTTCCTATCATTAAAATGTACTACTAGAACAATATGGTGCCACCACCAAAACCATCTCCAAGGTCTTCAGGACATTTAACATCGTATAAATTATATTATCTTCCATACCATATGTTAATGTGTTTTCAGCAAAGCAGGCCACCAACACTCTTTAGTTAGCAGTCGGTTCATTCCGAAGCAGGAGACCAGTTTACCTTCATCTTCCTAACATAAAATTCCTAAAGCCTAATGGTAGCAAATTAAGTTGATGCAATGTAGCTGACCAACACTCTTTAGTTAACATTTTTGCCAAATGAAACTACATTGCCACATCTACAATGGATTTGTACTAATTCAATGATCAAAACTATAAAGAATGAAATAAAAAGGTTAATATATGTCATACTTATAAACAAACACATATACACACATAAACACACACACAGCAATTACTCACGCTAATGCTGCTCTTGTTGGCCGCAGGTTTATAGGGACATGCCGGGGGTACTATCTCTGGCTTACGATATTCCCAACCAAAGAGCCGATAGACTTTAGCCTAAAGAAATCACAAAGAGGAAAGGGAAAACAAAAAATTAAAGAAAAATAACAACAAACATGGAACAAAATTTTAATTTTTTGGGGAAGGAACATAGAACAAAAATTCCCAAATTGAATAATGAAAATATGTTCTTGATAATTGGGTCAACATGAAATTGTACAAGAAAAACAAATTATTAAGAAAAGTAAAAGAAGATCAATCTTACCATGAAATAATAATACAGAATCGGCAATACATTCACGATTGGGACGAGGAAAAGCGGCAACAAACACATCAAGCAAACCTATACAAACATACACACATACACATACATGTAACAACAATAATCAAACATGAGACAGAAAAAACATCGTTCAAAAGCAAAAATTGGAATCAAACTGAATCAGGAGATATTAAAGTATAGGCGGAATTACCATCTTCAGATCTTTGTACTGGCTGTTTGAGTCTTGATAATTGTTTGTAATAGGGTCAGAGTCCAGAAACGATGATCGAAAGGTATCCGTGTATGATATTCTCCTCGAGAATTTTATTGCCGGCGTCAATGTTTGTCAGATTAATTTAATTTTAGTCCTCTGATTTTATACAAATTTTGATATCGGTCTCTTTAAAAAGTTAATTATAAATTAGTCCTTTATTTTGTAGTTTTTACATAGCGGTTGGTCAACCAAGAGTTGACTAAACTAATGCGAAACATCACGTGTTTTTTTTTTTTTTTTTTTCAAGTAAAAGAACAAAAAAGCCTTCTAATAGTTGAATTCCCTCCCCTAATCTAGTCCGTATTGCAAGTGTCGGGTCATGTGGTTGGGTTGTTTTTTTGTCTCTGAATAACAATAAAAATAAAAAAGCTAGTCTATTTTTCTTTTAGGTTTCTATCTTCATCGAAAAATATTTTCCTTTTCTAATTAAAATATATATTTTAATTAACTTATCAAAAAATAACTTATCAAAAAATAATGAGTAATTCATTTTTGTTAAATTTTAATATATATATATATATATATATTTGTAAATATTTAAAATATATATTTTCTAAAAAATATTTTAGATTCAAACAAACAGAGATTAAAATTATTTTTTGCCTTTATGTTTGGTCAAAACGAAACAAAGTGAAAGTAAAATGAATAAAAGAAAAAATAATTTCTTTAATGCATTTGGGTGAAAAAATAAATAAAAGTACACCAGCACACCTCTTTGACCAATATAGGAACTAAAATATTTTTCGGTAATATTTTCAAAGAATATAGTAGTAGGGTTTTTGTATTTTGAAAGTAATGATGAAAATTACACCCATTGGCTTTATAAATTACAGTTATAATAAATTTAAATAAGAAGAAGACGAAGAAGAAGAAGAAAAAAAATTACATGTTACATTAAGTGCAAAAAGAAGTATTTTTACACGTAGGGGAAAAAAAGAAGAAAAATGAGAACCTTGAAAGGAAAATATATCTTTTTTGTAAGGAAATCAAAGGAATTTGAAGAATTAAAGAGAAGGAAGAAAAAATTTAAGAGATACTTTAAGAAACTAAAAATTTTAGGGGGCATTATATAGCAATTTTCAACTACATATATAATAAATTGAAAAATAGCCATATATAGTAGTGGATGGCCCACGTGGGGGCATATGCCCCTAGACACGCATACGATCCTCTCCTACCTTCTTCAAAACTATTATGACACGTCATTCATTAACCCATAACCTATTCTTTTTCTCAAATGGTGAATCTTCTTTGGATATTGCTCCTGATTTTGTATCATCCTCAAAATCAACAATTGACGTTTTAGGTTTTGCTAACTTCATCATGGAATAATTATAAATATATGTTGAGTTAAAAAAATAAATCATAACAAATTAATAAACCAATAAATCAATCGAGGAATTCATTGGGTCTCTCTCAAAATTAATTAATTAAGATTTTAGATTTGGCACCATGTATTATTTATTTATTTATTTTTGTTTCCAAAATTAATCATTTTTTTCTTTTATTTACGTTTAGCCCAAATTGAAGAAGCTGGCGATTCAGGCAAGCAAAATTTTACTGAAAAGGAAAGAGAAAAATTTGATCTTAGTATCTAAGATTGAGGGAGAGAGGTTGAGAGTAGAGACAAAGGGGAGATGTGGTAAATGATGTCTCTTAATGAATGACTTATCTTAATATTAGCCTTCAAATTGATTTTGAAGAGTAGGAGAGAGATGTCCCAAGGAGAGAATCCTATTTCCTGGACACATATTGGCTCAGCCCCAGAAAGTAGTAGAATAATGCTATTTTATGGTGAAAAGATTACCAAGGTGTCTTAGGAGAAAGTTTTAAAAAAATATACACTCTCCCAAAAAGAATATCTCTTTTAAAAAATATCGTGAGTTGCAATTTTTCAAAAGAAGTATCCATTTTTGGGACACAGGTAGTGTATCATTTTCCTTTCAAACTTTTTAACAGTTCAAATTTTTTGTTTTCGGGTAAAAATAATTTGTACAGTTTTGTGATACAAAAATTATGCATGGACACAACAAAGTGAAATGATGCCCAAATTAGTTCAGTAAATTTGTATTTTTGCTTTACACAATGTCTCAAAAAAAAAAATCATCATTTTTAAGGATCCACCTAGCTGCAAAAGGATACGCTGGCTAAACTATTTGTTTATACATTGCGTTAAACATAAGGGAATCAAATTTGACTTACTGTTTAAGAGCACTACTCACAGTATCAGCTCCCCTGAGATTTGGTTGCTTAATATTGTGTAATCACCGTTATCACCCTAATCAGATTGCCACATTAATCACAAAAGAATAACAACAAATCCCCATATTAAATTGTAATTTTCATGGCAAAATTATTCCATTATGATATGTGGAGATCACGGGTTTAAAATCGAAAACATGGTAAAGTTGCGTACATCGATCTCTCCAAGAGTTCAAGATTACACCAAACAGTCATGTGCACAAGTAATGTTGTAGATCAACTGCACCAGTTTGGTTCAACTATTTAAGACGTTTCATGTCCATACATACGCCAGACAATTCATGCATCACTTGCAGCATAGACCACCCATGAAGATTATGTAGACACTAGACACCAAGTCGCATGACTTAACAGTGAGCTAGTGTTATATTATGAGAAGACAGCAACTCAGATTCATATAATATTTGAAAGAAACAATGGCAATTGCTCGCAGCAAGCTAACATTCTTAGGTAGCTCACGGCAAGCTAACAAACTTAGGAAGCATCGTAAATAAATCTACAGCAAAAAAATCAGAGCCCAGATTTCTGGGTAGTGATCCATATCAATCATCTTTCAGTAGAATCCAATAAAGGACCCCTTCTCACAAAGTAGATAAATCGGAAATAAACACTCGCAATACTCAACAAAAACATATGATCACAAGTCAAACAAACAATTACAAAACATCCCACCGTGGGCTCCCTTTAGTCATGTTTTAATCAAGCCATATAATCAGTTATTATCACCGGTGACAAATTCCATATTCTATAGTGTGAAGTAAGTACCATTGTTCAGACATGCACTCGGTAGGGAATGTGTATAAATGGACCAACATGGTAAATGTGTTTGAATTGGTTCTAAGTGCTTTCACCCTTGCAAGGGATCTCAGTGCAGCGACAAACAGGCCTTCCAGAGGCTTCCCAGCCATTATAACCACGCTCCAAAACCATGATGTTCTTTATTCCCCCATCTTCTTTCAGTTCCGTGAGATAATCTGCCAACTTTCGTGCACACTTTGGGCCGCGAACCTGCAAAAACATGATGCAAATTAAAGAAAGATAATTTGAGGTCAACAAATCAATCAACAAAGATAATTTGAGGGCATTGCAAAACCAATTTGCTTTTGTCACATACACAACTTTTGTTATGTAGGTGATGGACCAAAAAACAAAAAAAATCAGATGGATAAATGAATTCCAAACTATACATTTATACATTATGTCTTGGAAAAAATATATATGAGAGTTCTATAAGATAAGTGTCCAGGTTTTAGAAAAATGAGGTGCCAAACAGACATTAGCTGATATAATATACCATCATGAAACCACTGAAGAAAAAACTTGTGAATTTTCAACCACAATGCATCGACACCTGGGGTTGGCACTAAACATATATTTTTAATGCAATGATTATGGATAAATTTATCAAACATATTCCACTACAGGCCCTGTTGTGTACGTTGTATGTATGTGACTAACAAGGCAAGAGTCAAGTGAAATTTAAACTAATACTTTTTAGAGATGCTTTATAATGAAAGTTTTAGGACAACCCATTAGGATCAAATATGCAAAATGTCAGAATTTTTCATTAATTAAAACACGGTCAAATGGATAATCTTAATTGCTAATCAAGAGAATCCAAAGTGGCCATTTTGTTATCTTTGATCAACAATCAAGAGAGAGGATAGATTGTACAAATCATTGTCAATAGAACTAGAGTTGGGTAAATAAAGCAAGCAAGTGGTTTAGGAATCTTAAACTTTATTCATGCTTGATACAGGATAGTATGTGGTCAACAGTGTGAGAACATACACAGCATCATGTGATTAGAAAAGTAGTAGGAAATGTGAACAGAGATATAACAGAATGGAGAGACCATCTGTTGACCCAACTCAAGAATTCCAAATTACACCATTAACATCCTATTCACTGGGAGAGGGTGCATATATGTATTCCTTATGCAAGGAGGACAAAGATTTGGTTGATTCTGTGGTTGTTCATAAATCATATCATATGTGGGACAAGCAGTTTCAGCTACTCAAGGTTAATTGGGTTTTCCCAGGTAGCCCTTCAGTAAATAATCAAAAGGCACCGTTCAAACATGCCTTCACACTGAAATAATTGTTGGAATATAAATGGCTCAGCAGTAATGCCATTTAAGATTATGGAAAAATGAGGTGCACAAATCTTTTAGGATTATGTCTTCAAGGTAGATGATACATAAAACAAGTGGAGGGACAGCTATGAAATATCAGATGAGCAAAGTATGGTCGAGTTTGCACAGAGAAAGTCGCGGGTCAATCATCGATGCGGAATATGGCTTTTGAACTTCTCAACTGATTAAATATTGTGTTTCGAATTGTTTGATTTCTGTTAATTTTCCAAATCTACTCCCTCTGAACAGGTCTTGATCTGCTTTTGTGTTGTACAAAACAAGTGTGTGAAATAATTGTTTGGAAAAATAAATGGAGAAGTCGGGCAGACCAACAATGAAGTCAATACCCATCCAACAATCAGTTTCTCCATTTTTCTTGAAGAACATCTGAAACTACACGTGATTAGATAGGTTAACCAAACTGCCAAAGACAATGCGGGGAGGCTGTATAGGCATCTTTAACAAGATTCTCTTGAGTCCAATTTTTACTATTGACCCGTTAATACAAATGGATGAGAAACCTAGGTAAATTCGGGTGCCCCATTGCACCCAGAAACACAACACAGGAAAGCAGCAGTATCCAGCATGAATGACAGCTTTGCAGATGAAGAGACAGCAGATGCACTATTTTAATTCAGAAAACACAAATTTTGGACATATTCTCCTCTCTGAATGAGGTGACATTTTTCATTCCTAATACAATAGGCACAGTAGTTAAAATAAAACAAATAACTCAGAAAGTGCAGAAAAGGACATTCAATCAGTTTCCAATAACAACACACTAAGCCTAAACCGTCATTGCAGTCATCTGATCCTAGGATCATCAACTTGTAGCATTTATTAGAAATCATTAGAAGTAATTCAACAGGACCATCAACTTGTAACATTTATTATAAATCATTAGAAATGATTCAACAATTGCTCGTATATCCAGTGATAATCCTTCATGAACCCATTTATGAGCAAAGTGCTTGAAAGCTAAATAACAATGTGCGGAAGATAATTAATATATCAACCATGTAAATATTTCTAAAACAGATTAATAAACTTAACAAACCCAATGAAAATCTGAGGCATATAGGCTCCATTTGATATTCAGGTTTACTGAGGGAAAGATAAAGCGAAAAAAGAGGAAAAAAGAAAAAGGAAAGTGAGAAGCAATTCATTCACATTTTCTCTTTGCTTAAATGAGATTAGAAATTAAAAGTATATTTAAAATGGTCGGAAGTAAGGAAAAGTAAAGAAAAATGGCATCAAAAATTAAAATTTCTCCCTTACTTACTCTCATATTTCATTCCATTTAGTCATTTGCCAATTGCCATGGTAACCAGACAAGGAAAAAATGATTTCCTTTTGCCTTGTTTTTTTTCCCCAAAACAAAATCCACCAACCAAACAGAGCCCCAAGTGTTTGGTAGAAGCCTAGAATTCAGCATTACAAAAATCACCACCAATCCACGGTCCAAACAGCAAAACCTAGAAAATTCAAGCTGTAATCAATCTAGTTGACCGAATGCAATCCTCAGAAACCAATTTTTTGTGTGCATATACAAATCTAGAAGCCTAGAACCACCAACCAAACAGAACCCCAAGTGTTTGCTAGAAGCCTAGAACTCAGCATTACAAAAATCACCACAATCCAGAGCCCACACAAGAAAACCTAGAAAATTCAAGCTGTAACCAATCTAGTTAACTGAATGCAACCCTCGGAAACTATTTTTTTTTGTTTGCATACGTATATACAAATCTAGAATCTAAATATACTTATTAATGAAACAAATATACATGCATACATACGTGTGTGTCAGTGTAATATTGAGAAACAGAAAACATTAGAATGCAATTATCAATGAATTAGGCTGAGAAAGTGCAATAAACCTGACTTAGGGCGCAATGAAATACAAGGGTGTCTTTCCCACTGGCGGCTTGAATTAGATTGGGAATTTTCTCAGAAAATGTATCGCTCGCATAGTGCAGTGAACCAGCTATGTGCCCGTCGTAACTCCTCTCATCATCCCTATTATCCATTCAATTTGGCAATTACAAACAGATCGATATATATATATATCATCATTCGTATATAATCTGCATAAATATATCCACACATATATAGTTATATACATACCTGACATCTACAACAGCGATATTTGGGCGACGTTTTAGAGAGAGAAGCTGAGAACCTGTTATGTATGTAATACTCCGAGCCATCTCCTCTCTCCCCTCTTTTGGGACTGTACACCAGAAAACTTGGACTAGACCTTCCACTTGTTTTACAACGCAATTAATATACAATTATACATATATATATATAGGGTATGTGACTGTAATAGTGAATTGTCTTATTGTTTTATCTTACTACCAAGATCGATCTAGCCCTTAAAATTTTCTTTTTATCATTTTCTATTTTTCCAAACAAAGATCTAGCCGTTAAAGCTAGGATATCATGGAATCATCTACGTGTGAAATTTAGGACATTCTAAATTGTGCTTTTAAAATTGGGTAAACTATAATGACACAAATAAATACAAGTTAATCCATTTTTTAATGACACCCTCAACTACCACCAATTACATTTGACATGCTAAATTAATATTGTTATCATTTGACTTGTTACTTGACTCATTTAAATTATGAAATTATCAATTTATTAATCTCTCTCTTGTCCAAATTATACATATACGTAGATTGACTATATATGTGTGTGTGTATACCTATATAAAAATGACCTGATCCAGATCTTGTGCAACTTCAAGAAATTAAAATTTCCTATTTGGTGTCAAATAAGGAATCAAACTCCCATGCTTTAATCTCAACAATAAAAAACACCGCTGCCGCCATTGATTTCCTCTTAATTTATTAAGCTTCAAAGTGCTTGATATGTGTATGTGTGTGTAGATATATATTGTCTAATGAACACTAAATTGATTCCTTTATATATATTTTTTTCTCTTACTCTCTCAATACGGCTGTAGGATTAAAATTTTGTTTAAATTAAAAATAAAACCAAATTGAAGTTCTAAATCAACAAAACACATAATACTTAATTTTCCACCGGCCTCCCAAAAATTTATATATACATATACATATGTATATACATGTAAGAATAAATAAATATTATGTATATTTAAAAGTAGAATAGTTAGCAGAAAAAAAAGAAAAGAAAGGGAAAGAATAAGGAAGTAACCAGTATAAAAGAGGAAGATGGGTCGTTGTGATTGGAGTGTTTGTTGGGCTCCTCTGTGCCTATTGAGAGAGAGAGTTTGGAGAGGGTGGTAGACAGAAATGGGGTTATATTTTCCAAAGAAGGTTATTTAGTTCATTTAATAATTCTGATATTTTATATATCAAATATGAATAAAATATTAAACGGCAATGTAAACATTTCACCCCTTTTTAGGTTATGTTTCTATTCAAAATCTCACAGGGTTCGTTATTCAAAAATAAGCTTGTAGAGAAAATCTAGAAAGTGTGCACTGTACTTTACTCTTTAAAATTTATAAATTTTAGACCCATTTAAAAGTTTTATTGATAAAAATTTAATTTTTTTTTTTTAAAAAACTTAAATTCCATATATAGATTTTATTATTAGTTTTTTTAAAAAAATTAATTTGTTTTTACCAAATAATCCTAGATACAATCACAACCTACCTCTATTTTTCGTCATTCCTATCACATCTCACTGTAAACAATTATTATTTGTAAAGAGAATGATAAGCTTTCTTTTATTCTTTCTCTAGAATCCGATCATGTGGTGCTTGTATTTTCTTCTTTTATACGATCTCATGAATTATATGAAATTTTTTGATAATATATCTATATATATATAAATCTTGTGGATGGCATCACTACTGTCCTAGAGATTGAGAAATACAAATTTATTAGTGAATTATTATTTTTTCTTTTCTTCTGAAAATAACACCGTTAAATTACTACTGCCCTTGGTGTAGGCTTTGTTTTGATATATTTGGGTCCGATTATTGATGTATTTGGGTCACGGTTGTATTGTTTTGGGCTTTAACAGGTGGACTTTGTTTTTTTATATTAGAGTCTAACTATTGTTGGGCCAGCTTTGTTTTGATATATTAGAGTCCAATTATTGTTGGGCCAGGCTTTGTTTTGATGTATTATGATTCAATTTTTGTTAGGCCTTTAATTTGCATTTGGGCCACTCCTGCCTTACTGGGCCTGTCTCTTCTTTGTACAATTCCTTTATATTGTACTCCCATCATTACTCTATCTTGAGTCTTTTTATCTGTTCTAAAACAAGTGCCTAATTTAAAAACTCAATGTTATTATTATTATTATTATTTTATTTTATTATTAATTTAGTCTTTCTTGCATTGCATTGAGCATGTAAATCCTCACTGTAGGTGCAAAATTTCGCTCAACCAATAATGATTGAGAAAAATAAAACAACTCACTCAAAAACAATAAAAATAAATAAGAACAATGTATAGAGAAGTGTGGAATTGCTTGATCCTTTTATCGGAGGTCTGAGCCCCTATTTATACATAAAAGGGTGATTGAATTAAGGTAGGACTCGCATTGCTTGTCCTCCAATTCTTCCTATACAGAGTTTCTTTACAAATAGAGCTTGTCCCTTGTATAACTTTCTATACGTATTACTTGCCTTGTACAGAACTTCCTATCTCAGAATTTTCCTTCTACAGTAAATCCTTAAACTGGTAGGACTTGTGTATTCTTGAATCACTGGGCTGAACATATTTTGATCCGGCTGGGCTTGAGTAACGGACCGGATGTTAAATATTAACAAGTTGGGCTGATGACCTCTTGATTCGGCCTTGATGGAGGTTGGAGGACAAATAACGATGGTCTTGGGCTGTAAGTACCCTCAATTTGGGCTTGCACATGATGGGCCTTAAATGCCCTTAGAATGTGGATATGTGTGGTGGTGACGTGTGCGCTTTTTATTGGAGGGAGTTTTTTTTCCCTCCACACTTTGCCCCAAATTCCATTTTTAATTGAGTGACGGCTCCTATTAAAGAGGGAATTGAAACTGGTTTTTTTTTTTTACTTTGCTTCAGAAACGGTTCGTGGTCTTTCATTATTACTCCGTCACACAAGATTTTGCAAGAGTTACATTTGCCCTTGCTGCACTTCTGCGTCCTTCATTCCATCGCTTCCATCGCTTTGTCAGGTTAGTTTCGCATCTTTCTCTTCAATCTTTCATTATGAGTACTTCATCTACTCCCGAACGTGTAGACCTTGGGGATTCTGAATCCACACCTTCATCTTCCCCCGTTCGCATTAGGGCTCCCCCTCCTAGGGTTTCTATAGATCGCCCTTCGTTGAACCCATTAGGTACTTCCCCTCTTCCAACCGAAACATCCACCTCAGGCTCTGATTATGTTCTTACCCATGAAGAGAAGAAAGCAATCATCTCTATTCGCCGCATCAAGTTCTCTATTGCTTCGGTAATGGAAGAATTTGATATTCCTGAGGGAGTAGAAATTGCAGAATATCCCGAGGGTGCCGATTTCACCTCCGGCGAGGGAATTGAGGACGATGAGTTGCTTCTTTCGGTAGGGCACCTTAACGCCCTCCGATTCCCTCTTCATCCCTTCTATCATTTAGTTTTCAATAAACTAGGTCTTGCCCCCCTTCAGGTAAATCCTAATGTCTTTCGCATCCTTTTGGCACTGTTGGTGCGCCGGAAATTAGAGGCTCTGGATTTGACCCTTGCCGACCTTCTGCTTACTTACAATATATCTAAGCATGGGACCGAGCCTGGTCGCTTCTTTTTTACTTCTCCCCTTCATCAGAGGATATGCACGAACCTTCCTTCATCCGAAAAGAAATAGAAAGAAAGGATGGTTATAGTTAAAGGAAAATGGTTCGTGTCCCAATCAATTGCGCTCCCCATCCCGCGCAAATTCGGGAAATTAGGTATAGAATATTTAACCTCCCTTCATACCAAGTGTTCTGGCTGTTTTCCTTGCCAAGTCTTAATATTTCGCCGTATTTATGAGTTTCTTTGTGTTTTTTCAGCTACATTCCTGTCCTCCGCAGCAAGGAACAGACTTTCTTTTCTTGAGGAACGAGTCTGGAGAGACCCCTCGCCTATCGAGGACCTGCTAATTTCTTCAAACCTCAAGGACATTGCCTCCAGTGCCGTTGCTGCAGACCTCATGGATCTGTCTCTACCATCCTTTGACAGTTTCCTCATGACTGAGGAGGAGATACGGAGGGCTGAGGCTTTAAAAAAGAAAGCCGAAGATGCCCAACCCTTGGTTGTCATTGGATCAACTGAGGATGCGGTGGAGGTTGAGGAACCACCACTGAAGAAATCTCGCCTCAACCCCTCATCCTCTGGCAAGGGCAAGGTCCCTTCTAAAAGCAGAGGGAAAAAGGCTGGAGAGGCCGAACCTGAAGATGAAGTCAGGGCCTTTGTTCTAGCTGAGACTGGGGCTCCTTGGACTCCTTCCTTCACCAGGGCTGACAGGTCAGTCCTGCACTCAGGGGATTCTGTGATTACAGACCCTTCAGCTGCACTGGCGGTGGCTCGAGGAATGTGACTCCCAAAGGACGAGGAAGCCATCAGCCAAATAGGGTTGGAGCAACTATTCCCCTCCGCCCCAGTCCGGGCCATAGAGGTTCGCATTGCTCCTTCAGAATTAAGTTACTCTTGCTTGCTTATGTTTCTATTTATGCTTATATTTGCTCCCCTGTTAAACAGAGTCTATACCACACCATGGCCCTCTGCGCCACTGCTGAAGCTCAATCCCTCTCCATCAAGAAGTTGGAAAATGATCTTGACAATGCAAAGAAGAGAGCCACTACTGCCTTTTCCAATCTGAAGATAGCTTCTGAAGCCAAGGATGCGTATAAGAGGCAGTTGTCAGCCTCTGAGGCTAAGGTAGATTCTCTTCAGGCCGAAGTTCAACGCCTGACCGAGGCTCTTACTACCTGCTTCAAGGCGGGAAAGCAAATGCAGGGGCGCTACTCCTGTCTGGCACACCTGGCCAGTGCTAAAGCGTTCCGGTCTGGCTATAATCAGGGCTCAGGCCCTAAGACGATGGATCCGGACGCCTTTGACAAGAAAGTGGGGGTGCACTTCCCATACGATGAAGGGCTAGAGGCTTTGGAAGCTGAAGTTCGCTTTGCCGAGATGGTGAAGGCGCACCAGAAGGTTCAATTCCTCCTACCCCAAGTCTTACTGTAGTGGACGCTTTTGAATCTACTCCCTTCGATCCGAAGAGGAAGTAGAACCATGTATTTCGTTCTTATTGACAGTATGTTTGGGATGATAAATATAATTTTTGT